CTCGAATTTTAAAAATTTTCGCCGTGTACGGATGTGTAAAGGTCGACGTCTTATATGTGAAATTACACTGTTGACAGTTACCGCATCTGTAATTCCCATATGGTATTTTGTTCAAAAAATGAGGAGCAGGTTTCAAATCCGCTCTAACCAAAAGATTTCGAAGATTAGCTGTTTTTTTGTGCACTAAACGAGGTGGTTTGTCGAAACATTTCTTAAGGTTGGGATCACTCTCTACCATATGCCAATGCTTCAATAAAACATGGCCCCAAGTTTTGCATGTTTATTTTGCGGGTTGTTTGAACATCATTTTGTGTTAAATCCTGTGGCGAATGATTTCTTGAGACACATTGTTCTATGGAAACGATACATTGATGATGTTTTTTTAGTATGGAGTGGTACTGAATCTGAGCTACTAGAGTTTCATAGCTTGGTTAATAATAAGTGTAGTGCGTTGAAATTTACTATGGAATTTCATCAAGAGAAAATGAATTTTTTGGATGTGCTTGTTCTTCGTACTGCATCAGGCATTGAAACGACTTTGTATCGTAAACCAACTGACCGTAATACTATTTTACACGGACAGTCCTATCATCCTGTGTCATTAAAGCGCTCGTTACCAATTTCTCAATTTAGTCGCATTCGTCGTATTTGCAGCAGTGATGAAGATTTTCAACAGCAATCACAAATTTTATCACAGAGATTCAGAAAACGATCATATCGAGAAGAATGGATTCAGTCTGCAGTGAGTCGTTTTAAAGATGTGTCACAACAAGAGAGTCTCGTTAAAAAACATAAAAAATTTGACCGTTGTGTCAACTGTTACATCCAATACTCGCCTGTGTCGAAGGACATTGATAATGTTTTATTGAAACATTGGCATATTGTAGAGAGTGATCCCAACCTCAAGAAATGTTTTGACAAACCACCTCGTTTAGTGTACAAGAAAACACCTAATCTTTGAAATCTTTTAGTTAGAGCTGATTTGAAACCTGCTCCTCATCTTTTGAACAAAATACCATATGGGAATTACAGATGCGGTAATTGTCAACAGTGTAATTTCACATATAAGACGCCGACCTTTACACATCCGCACACGGCAAAAAATGTTTAAATTCGAGGCACTATTTCATGTAAGATGGCTAATGTCATTTACCTGTTGCGTTGCCCTTGTGGTTTATGTTATATTGGTAAGACTAGCAGACCTCTAAAAACTCGCATCTCTGAACATCGATGTGCAATTAGACATCGCGATCCAAAAAGTCCGGTAGCACAGCACTTTGCATCACGATAATATTGTACGGTCATGTGACCTTTGATCACCTGGAGATAGGCCTATAAAGAATGGGATATCAGTGTTGTTCATTTGTCTGATGAAGAGCCTGCGTGCTCGAAACGTCACATATACTATGCGACAGTTTTTTTTTTGAATAAATTTTTTGATACTTTTGGAGCTTTGGTGTTGCCGACTTTACATTTAAAAAATGTTCCACTTGTTTCTTAGTCGAGCACCCAGTTGAGATCGATGTGCGTGCTTTTGCCTGCTCTTCACTGGAAAAGGGTTAAACAAATAAATGAACAGCCTTGAAGCATCAGCTTCCAGGCACTGAAATCAGATAAGACGATTTGTTTCATGTCAGAGGAATGGAGCAAGTGAGGCAAACTAAATCACTAAGGAAGCACATGGAATATCTGCAGTCTAGATTTGCACCCATTTGTTTAGTGATGTCACTGAATGTGTGTTTGTGTCCATTCAGGGCCAGGTGCAGGAGGAACTGGTACTGGTCTTCCAGGTGCAGTGAATGTATATATTTAGTAATACTGGCATGAGTAAATTTGCCTAATTAGCCAGCAGTGATAGTAAGATAGTCTCATCTTTCAATTGTTTGTTAGGCCTTGTCATTCCTCAGACCGGGGTACAAGGACTGGGCCCTGGTGGGGTTGGACCTGGGGGAAAAGCAGCAAAGGCCGGAAAAGCTCCAGTGCCGGGTAAGTGTGGGGGTTTGAATTTGTATGTATAAATGGAAATAAGCATGATTATAGATCTACTTTTCAATCTTGTTTTTTTTTTCTTGCAGGAGTGGGAGTGCCTGGACCATATCACGGAGGACTTGTTCCTGGACAAGGTTTGTTATTTCCCTCTGTTTATGTACTATAATATGACCACGAGGCCCACAAGGAATCTGCAAACCTTTTTCACATTTATGATGCGGATTGTGGGGAACATATGCCGGATTCTGTGAAATTGATCTACACTTGGCAAAATATTTTCAACAGAGCTGAGGATGCTACACGCTTAGGCCAGAAACATATTGTATGCAAGCAGGCAAACCTACAAATTCTTGGCACACTCAAAGGGGCGATAGAGTTACCTTCATAGTGTGTAATGGATTATTCAGGTAGCTAGCTGAGTACTGTTTAACTTAACTTTAATTTCTTTGACTTGGTCAGCAAGATTGACCTCAGAGTGTTGCTCCTCCATAAACACAGTTGACCTAAAGGAAGAAACACACCGTAGAAGACTCCAGTGCCGGCGTAGAAACAGACAGCAATAACGCATGAAATGTATATTGCACATACGTGCATAGAATATATTTCAGCCATTATTAAATTAGCCAAGACATCTCATGAACAAAGGTATGTGTGGAACTTAAATGATTTCTGCAAACATCTATGGAGTTTTCTGTGCTCACAGATTTAGAGCAGGCCTGCTAATCAGTCATTTGGATAAAACACCAAATTAAAATTGCACACATGGCCTTCGTTTGGTCTTGATCACTTGGATTTAAATGATTACAGGCTTCAATGGGCGGGGTGTTCTTCCTGGTGTAGCCACAGGAACTGGACTCAAACCTAAATCAGGTGAAGTCTCAATGAAAATGACATCAGTCATTGCAGTGAAATAAATTATATACCATATCTTTATGACTGACTGAATCTTTCCCATAGCTGCTGGTGGAGGGCAGGGTCTGGTACCGGGTGGTGGTTAGTACATGAGCATACAGCAACCAAATATTAATAATGATATCTGGATAGTGTGGAAGCAAAACTGAACAACACCTATGTGTTTAAAAAGTTTACGTTGTCTGTAGACATCCAAACAAATGCTCTTTTGCTGTAGGTGGGCGTGGATATGGACCACTGCAACAAGGAGTATTTCATGGATACCCTCTCAAATCTCCCAAAGCCCCAGGTGGAACATTTGATTCTTTTGATCAGACTTCACAAACCGTGCTCAGCCCAGCTCTACCACGCCTTGAAAAGAAGCATTTGCAGACTGATTGCATTTGTGGTTTTACAGCTATTAAGCAATACAATATGAGGTTGATAGAAATAAGAAAGTAAGAATGTCTTTCATCAAACGCTCCAGATGAAACCCAGCTATATTGGATCAGTGCTTAGACTCACATTGCTAGCCATCCATTTATGTAGTAGATTGCTCTCCGGTGTGCAGAAACGTTGTGTGATTTCTCCTACATGGAGGTTCAACAGTTGAAGTGCTCAATTAATTGACAAAGTTCATTGTCATAGTTTTCATAGTCACAACTAAAAATATTTTCATAAATTTTTCCATTTGAAGCTTGAAATAAAGTACATATTTTCACGTCTCTCTTATCGCCGCGTTATCAACCTTTAATCATGGACTAGGAATACATCCAGTGAAATTAGGAGAAATTGATTGCGGTATTAATATGTGAGCATCTAGTGGAACATAGCTTTTCCAAACTTGCACATTTGTTCTGATAAAAACAGGATACAATGTTGATAAAATTGTGTGGTCCACTTCAATGGTTTAATGCTTCACAAAGTGAGTTCATACATCAACGGAAATCATTTAGATTCTTCTTTATCATCTAACTTTTTGCCGTTTTATCTGTAGTATTTAATCTGTGTGCTCTTTGGCCAAACACTGACCAGGTGTTAGTTCTCCCTAGCTCTACTGTTGTGGATAGCTTTGCTATGTATACAACACATTTGATGACACACAGTATTTTCGGTATATCTTTAGTATGTCTGTGTTATGTTTACAAACATAAGATAGAGGGGGAGGCAAGCAAAAGGCTTGTTTAAAGAGGAGGATATTTATTAAAGTAGATTTAAATTGAACTAAAATTACATGCATACGCAACAGTCTTGATAAATGAAAGTCTTACATCATGACTTGTCTCAACAGGTGCTGGGTTACCCTACACTGGTGGTAAACTTCCATACGGTAGGCTACAGTGGTGACCTCCATTACATGCATGTGCTGAATACCTTGTCTATGAAATGTACGAGCTTGCGTGATGATTCTCACCTGCTATGCCAAAGGTTATGGTGGTTTTGGTGGAGGTGCTGGACTCCCTGGTGGGAAAAGAAGAGCTGGCTCCAAGCCAGGTTATCCAACAGGGACTGGTGTGTTATGTCAAAGCCACCATATTTGAATAACTATAATACACTAGAGGGTGAATCTAAAAGCCTGTAAAGAAAATGTCATATTTTAACTCAAAACCATTAATGTAATGGGATATACTCTATATATCTTTTAATTCATTGTCACAAAAATAATGTCCTAATTCAAAATGTCCCCAATGTTAATGCACAATATAGTTTCTTATTTATTTAGGCAGATTGTGTGGTGAAATAAAACCCACACATGGTCTTGACTTCGTGAGATTCACCCTAGGCGAGCTACTAAAATGTTTATGTTATTTTCTATGGCTGCAAATGGCACACGCGCACACATGCACTGCAAATGCATGACCAGTAGCTGATCTGCTGTCTCTGTGTGCAGGTGTTGGGACTTTAGGGGTCTCTGCTGCACAGGCCAAAGCTGCTAAATATGGTAATAATAATTAATTAAATGATTTTAAAGGCCACATGTCCTAAGCTTTATCCACAGAGCAAAGAAATTTAGATGGCACTTCAGTTATTTGTGCATAATTGTGTTCTTTTCCAAGAGCTAATATTAACAGTTCATTGTTTGTTTCTTCTTCAGGTACTGGAGCTGGTTTTGGTGGGGCTGGAGCTTTTCCGGGTGGTGCTGGTGGACTTTACCCTGGTGCAGGAGGTAAGGATACATTTTCCTTTGCAATCCCCTAAAACCGCAATCAACATTTTTATATTAAAGTCATTTACTCAAGCAGCTAGTTTAGTGTTTACATATTTTATTGGGTGTTGGAGCTGGTTTAGGTGGTGTTGGAGCAGGTGGTGCTGGTGGACTTTATCCAGGGGCAGGAGGTGAATTATCATTTTGCTAAAAAAAATGGTTTAAGAGCTGCAATCAGCCACTGTGCTTTTAAAATAAATAATTTACTCACCCGTATGTCATTCCAAAGTACTTGTACTTTTTTGTACTTTCAAATATTGCATGTCAAGACACCTTGCGATAGGTTTGAGGTCAATGCACATGGGGCATGAGATGTGGAATTCAATACCATGACATGTTTTCTGTTTCCTAAATTTGAAGCAAAATTTGTAATTCTTCTCTCTGAGCAGGTGTGGGTGTTTTTACACCAGCTCAAGCTAAAGCAGCGAAATATGGTGAGTGCATTGACTGATTACCTTGCTTTATTATGGGGCTCATAATTGACTGATGGGCAATTGAGGCTTCTATACTATATTACACAGTCAACCAATAATCTCAAAGAAAGCAAAGCTGATTGCACACTTTTTTGGTATTGGTGGTGTACCAGGCACAGGTGGACTCTTTCCTGGGGCAGGGGGTGAGATACAACTGTGTGCAGTAGTGTTAAATGGCAGTCACTTTATTAGAATGACCCAACACTGATAAATCTTTTGTGTTTTCCCATGTGTCAAGGTCCTGGTGTGCTCTCCCCTGCTCAGGCAAAAGCTGCTAAATACGGTAATCATGTACCCATATTTAGGATCCTTCTTATTCAGATATAGCATGGTTCTTCAATTCTGCTCTTGGAGGACCACTGTCCTGCAGAGTTTCAACCCAAGTACTGTAGTTTCAACCCAAATCAAACACCCAAAAAAAGTCAGTCAATACCTTTATGATTGCTAGAAAAGTATAGGCACGGTTGGAACTAAACTCTGCAGGTCAGTGATCCTCCAGAAGCAGGATTGAAAAACCCTGAGACAGTGGCGCCTGCAGGTGTACGACTGTACGCATTGTACGTACCATGAGCGCTTCGGCTGACCTGACCTGTCTGTCTGCCCTGCAAATATTTCAGCAATTATGATGTGTGTCCCGTATTTCTGTCAAGTGAACCAGCCATGCCGCTAATAATGGATTAATCATTATTTTGTTTCATATGAATTATATGAAGCGTTCCTTTGTCAGTAAAACAAACAGTATCGAGATACTTAAGAACACATAACAAATAGCGCTGGATGAACTAGATTCAACTCTAAACGCAGTAAAACACGTTATCTGAAAACGCTTTGGGAACGAGTATGCCCACGCAGCCAGACTTACAAATCCCTGCCTAGTATGGAAGAGCACATCTAAGACGAGAGAAAGGAGCCAGAATTGGCGCAGAATGCAGGTAGGCACCTGACACCTCAACTTCAGAAGGAGTGAACCTTGACCTCCAAAGGAGAGGGGAGATCAGAGGACTCGAGGCTATGGAATAGCATCCTGATCCACCGCTTAGCATAAGCTTCTCTGACCAGAGGCCTCAGCGCACCATGGAGGAAACATGTAACTAGGGGGTGTCTGCCCACTGACTGGCCAACGATAGGGGCGTGGAAGGCCGCAACAGCCACCACGTAGATTTTCAAGGTGGAGTGGGTCAACCCTGCAGAGATTCGGGCCTGCAGGAACTCCAGCACTGTACCAACTGGGCAGTAAACTGGGTTGAGCTGGCGGTCTCCACACCAAGAAGTGAATACTTCCACTTCATGGCATACAGTTTCCTCGTAGAGGGAGCTCTGGATTGGAGGATGGTCTCAACAACCTCGGTTGAGAGACCGGAAGCTACGAGTTGTGCACCCTCAGAGGCCACACCCACGGCTTCCACAGCTGGCGGGGGTAAAAGATCGTAGAAAAACTCTCCATATCTACTTCACCACCTCGGGGTGAAGTATCCATTCCCCGGGCCTCGGCCCCTGCCTCGACAGGATTTCTGCTCTCATATTGAGATGACCAGGAATGTGAACTACTCTCAGCGAGTGGAGTTTGCCCTGGGACCACACAAGGATCTGGTGCGCCAGCCTGTAAAGGGGGCGCGAAGACAGACCTCCCTGGTGGTTGATATAAGAGACCACCGCTGTGTTGCCGGTGCGCACCAACACATGGCGATCTCTTAGGTCCGGGAGGAAGTGTTTCAGTGCTAGAAACACGGCCAGCATCTCCAGGCAGTTGATGTGCCCCGTGAGATGGCGACCACTCCACAGACCGAGGGCCAACCTCACCCAACCGGTGAGAGACGCGACCGTCGCTAGCGTTACAAGGCGACAAGGAGCTCCCAGCACCGGGACCTGAGACAAGAACCAAAGTTTACTCCACATGCGGAGTGGGTTTCCCCTCAGGGAGAACTCCTTGGTCTTGAGCCATCAAGTCAAGTCAAGTCAAGTCATCTTTATTTATATAGTGCTTTTAACAATACAGATTGTGTCAAAGCAACTGAACAGCATTAATTAGGAAAATAGTGTGTCAATAATGCAAAATGACAATAGTAAACACTAATTTTTCAGTTAAAGACAGTTCATCATTGAATTCAGTGATGTCATCATCCAGCTCAGTTCAGTTTAAATAGTATCTGTGCAATCAAGGCGACGATATCGCCGGAAATGAAGTGCCCC